GTCTGAGCGGGGCAGGTCGTGGTGGGGGTGTGAGCAGCAGGGATGGGGTTAATGTAAAGGTTTATAGAAGAGGCACAAAGATGTGGGGGAGGTTTTCCTGAGCTGCACATTTAATTGTTACTGCCTTGTGGCTGAACCATGAATTTCCCTCTGTTTGGTAACATAATTCCTCTTACAGGCTTTGGGACTCGTGATTTTATTTCTCTTTTGTGGTTCATAAACAGGAAGAGCAGTGTTACAAGGGGAATTATCCTTCTGCTGTCCTCTCCCTCCAAACTGTGTCCAGCTTTGGGGTGATTACCTGTGGTCTCCCCAAATATTCTGACATTAAAGGCTCCGTTCAGTCTCCCAGCACTGTGGCTGCTGAGGGCAATGGGGCTTTGCCTTCCAGCACTTCGAGGTGGGAACAGCATGTGCAAAGCTTCCAGCACTGGCTCCACAAATGTGTAAAGCAGCTGACGCCAGTTGGCAACCAGTTTGCAAGGGAAGATTAGAAGAGGAAAATCCTTTGAAGAGAAACCCTTTTGCTTTATTAGGAAAAAATGCTCCTTGCCCCATGCTAGCTGGGTCAGGGGAATCCAAAGCCTCTGTGTGTGTGTGATCCAGGCAGGGGAACCTCTGCTTTGCTTCCCTGCTGATAACTTGGGAGGGCGACAGCTTCTCTCTTCGCTGTAGGTTTATTCTTGCTGCAACTTAAGAAGGGTTTATTTTAACCCCTGTGGTGCAGACGAGGGGAGCTCCTGGGGCCTGGGTAGGTCCTGACAGAGAGAGGTGGTTGCTGCATGGGTGAGGTGTGTGGCATGTGCTGCTCTGCTGGGGCCCGAGGAGAATCAGGTGTGATCAAAATACACACACAAATAATACCACCCTGCCTGCAAGAGCAGCTGGTGTGCCTGGGGTGAGCATGGGGCAAGAGCAGATAGGGGCAGCCCTGGAAAATGAACAGTTCAACACGCCTGATCCTCACTTTCCATGGAAATTGCCCATGGGAGGTGATTTTTTTTTCCTGGGCAAGCTCTTGGACAGGGATATCTTGCCAATCTGAGTGAGGTCCAAGAGGCAGCAGCGTTTGGGGCTGTGGTGGCACCCACAGTGAGGAGCAGTGGGACAGTGTCCTTGAGGACCTCCTGCCATACCAGTGGAGGAGGGAGCTTCCTTTTCCAACCTGCTGTGACTCATGGAACATCATCCCAGGAGTAGGTGGCGAGACTGAATCAGTGGTGCCTGAGGACACGCACGGGTGGCTCCATCCCCCTTCTTTGCTCCAGCATCTTCCTTCCTTCCGTGCTCCCACCCACCTTTGCTGTGTTTGCTGTGAGGTGATGGGAGGGAAATTCAGCTGAGCAGACAGGATAGAGCCCTCAGCCCTGTGTTTGAGCTGAAGCTCATTGTTGATGCCCATGGATGTAGACTGGAGCCTGGATTTGGGTTTGGTGGAGGGAGGTGGTTTTGGCTGGGGAGGTGCCATCCCCCGTCGACACCTCAATAAGCTGTTTGTATTTCAGGAGCTGCTTCCAGGGTTTGTCTTTCCAAGGTGGTGAAGAGCCCAGAGCTGCTGCAGGAGCCCATGAGGACCCTTTGCTGCTGTTGGGGTCCACATATGTAGGGGCTGAGCTGTGCCATCGGCTGATGGGGCCAGTTTTGGAGCCCTCAGCTTGAGGGTTTTAATGAAGCTAATGACTGTGTTTAGCTTTTAATGGAACTAGTTTCTCTCCCAGCGTGGAATGGCTCCTGGAGGAGCTGGGCTGAGCCAAAGGCACAGGATGGCAGCAAACACTGCCTTCTGCCAAAGTCTGGAGGTGTCAAGCTGCTGAGTGGAGCTGGAATGTGGCTGAAAGCTGAACTTCCTCCCTGATTGCCATGAGGGGGATGGAGTGACTCTTTTCTTGCTCTTCCTCCTTTCCTGGGGATAGGTGGGAAGCAGAGCCAGGAGTCTCTGGGGTGGCAAATTCTGGTTGTCCCATCCTATGAGGTGTTGAAGGGACACAGGGAATGCTCTCTGATGATGGGAAAATATTTGGAGACATACAGTGGCTGCAGATCTAACCCCAAAGTGCTTAACTGCCATAAAGGGAAAGGGATGCAACTCCTCTGTGTGTGTGATCCCTGCCTGGGTTTGCTCTGAGGTGGTGGTGGAGCCTCCTCTGCTGTGCTGCCCTTGTGCCCTGTCCTGGGGACACTTGTGTAACTCTGGGATCCGGTTACTGCCCAGCTCAGCTGCTGGAACCCTCTGCTCCAGCAAGAGTGAGCAGGTAGTGCAGCATTTTCCATCTGGAATAATGCAGAGTTTGATCTCCAAGGAGCCTTCCCTTGGAAGGGGAGCAGGAGATAAGAGATGGGAAAGCTGAACTGAGAGCAGCTCTGGGCTGTTGGGGTTTTCTTGCAGTTTGTCCCTCGCTCGGCAAAGGGCTAACCCTGGTTGTGCTCTGGATTGCTGTGGTTGCAAAATCTCCTGCTGGGGGGTGGGATGGGGGCTGTTCACCCTTGCTGAACCTCAGGGCCACATGAGGTGCTTTTCCCATCTCAGCTGCAAGCCAAGAAATAGAAATCTTGTTGTTGGATACCAGAGCTAAATTAGGGATGTGAGCAGTGTTACCACACCCCCCCAAATACGTTCAGTGTGGAGTTCCTGTGACCCGAGTAACTCTGGGGTGTCACCCACCACTGGTTTCACTGCTGGCTGTGGCTGAGGAATGGGAGGGAAAGCTGTCAGCTGTGGGAGCTGCTGGCTCCCACCTAAAGAGGAGAAACTGGTGGAAGCATTGCCTTTGCCTTAGCTGGACCAGGACCAAACAGTGCTGTCCCTCTGCTGTGTCATGCTTGGCATGTGCCTGGTGCCTGTGCAGAGGGGAGGATGGAGGTTGTGGGGTACAGCAGGTGATGCTGGGCCTGTGGGCAGCTTCTGCCATGGCTTGGGCATCACCACATCTTTCCTGCAGCAGTAATGACCTTCCCCACACAGCCTCACTGCATCTGGCCTTCAGCTCCTTGTCACGCTGCTGTCACCTGCCCCTGGGAACATTTCCTAAATTAACCAAATCATCCCCTTTACGAGGCTTAATCTGCTCCTCTCACAGCCTCTCCATCACCTCTCCATCCCTGGCTAGCAGGGGAGTGGAGGGAGCAGCTGGATCGCAGCTGGGTGTTCTGAGAGCACCAGGACAGCTGTTTGCTCCCTGCAGGAGTACAAAAACAAACGTCAGGGCTGTGCTGGTACAGGTAATGGAGGCTGCTGCCTCCTGCTTCATTAGAAATACAATTAATCTCCTCTAAAAGCGCTCTGAGTGACCTCTGAAGATTGGATGTATTTTGCTGCACCTCTCCTGTTTGTCTTGTGCAGAATGATGTTAACTAGCTGCTTCCTGCTGTTCCATTTTCCCAGTGTGTAATTACAAATTGGTTTTCTTTCTCCTATGCAGCTTCCTGGCTCCCCACGCCAGGCTCTTCAGAGTGGGGCTGCAAATAGCCAAGCTTTTCTCCAGGCCCCTTGCCTGGCTCCTCTGGGGGTTGGTGCTACTCTTGCTTATGGCTTTGGCTTCCGCAGGATCCAGTTTTTAGGGAAATTAAGCAATAGAGGAGCAAGGAGGGGCTGTCCAACCTCCTGCCTTGTCTTCCTTTCACCCTGAGGCTGTCAGTGCAAGTGATGTCAAGTGGTTGTGCAAAGGTTGGCTTTGCCACTTTGGTCCTCACTGAGTTTCCAGATGGTTTGGTGCCAGAATCCACCAGCACAGGTTTTCCCTGGCATGGGTTTCCTTGGCCTCGGGAAGCAGGAGAGATGAGGAGGTGGGAGAGGTGTGACCAAAGCCCACGGATGGATGGGGTTATGGGTGGGTGGCTGAAGGGCACATCCTGTTTGTGCCTTTCCCTGCTGTTCCAGGCAGAAATGCAAATCGTTACTCTGCCAGGGCTCCAGCAGTGAGTGGTGCATCTGTAAACAGGCAGTGTGTGGGTTTGGGGACTGCAGCAAGCATTAACCTTATTCCTGTGAAATCTCTGTGTTCTGGGGGGTCTTCACCATGTGCTAGACACAGCTCTGGGTCCTGCCAGGCCAGGGAAGCATCTCAGAGCTGATGCTCCTCTGCTCCTGGAGCTTGGCTGGGAAAGGTTGAAGGGGGTGAGAACTTTTCTGTCTAAGTTTTGGTAAAATGGCCAAACCAGCTGTTTCCTTCACTTGGAAGGTGGAGGTATGTTTCCATGTCCCCCTGCTCCCTGTCCCTCTGAGCACAGACCTGCTCAGAGGGTGTTTCACTGAGCCCAGCCCCAAGCTCTGCCGGAGACAGGAAGGAAAATGAACTATGCTCAAGATAGACACGTTTGTTGCTCTATATTTAGGAGCATAATAATTAAGGCTGGTTGTTTATCCTGACAAACATGGTAATTAATAGGCTGTGGCAGACGAGCAAATCCTTCCTGCACCTGGGAAATGTGAGTTGTCTTTGGGAAGGGCAGGGCCTCATTAAAGAGCTGCTGCTGCCTGGGTGAAAAAACTTCTATTTAGGGAACATCTGGCTGTTTGCTTCGTCCCCTCCCTGGTCACACGTGGCTGGGTGCTGGTGATGTTTGAAGCTGCAGTGAGGGTGAGGGTGTTGTCAGGCTATGTTTAAGGGCAGGAAGATCCTGCTGGTCCCACAGAGCAGAAAGCTGATGGATGGAAGTGGCAGGGGGGCTGCAAAGGGGAGAGCAGGTGGCACCCAGGGGTGAGGTGGTGTCGGTATCAGGGTACTAAAGTTGGCTTGTAAATGCAGTAGGAAGTTTGCTGTTTGGTGGCACTTGCTGGCTGAGCCCCAGGGAGGTGACAAGGAGGTGACAGGCAGCTGGATAAACTCTTCTTCTGGCCTTGGAAGGAAGGGCAAGAACCGAGGGCAAACGGCTTTGCGTTCTTCCCACTAGATGGGGATGGAGGCATTGCTCAGAGGGAGCCCAGAGCACCCACGCTTGGTGTCAGCTCAGGTGGGCACTGTGCTCTCCTAGGGGCTGATGGGGTCTCACTTCTCTCCCAGATGCTGCAGGACTGTCCCAAGGCCCGCAGGGAAGTGGAGCTGCACTGGAGAGCGTCGCAGTGCGCGCACATCGTCCGCATCATGGACGTCTACGAGAACCTCTACCAGGGGAGGAAGTGTCTGCTCATCGTCATGGAGTGGTGAGCCCCTGGCTGAGGAGCACACAGAGCCCTGCTCCTGCCAAAAGTGGGGGGAGCACCTTCCAGCACTGGTGCTGCTGGGGAGCCCAGGGAGGTGCTGTGCTGGGGCTGCAGACTGTGAGCCGTGGGCATCAAACCTGCACTGGTGGTGTTAGAGGGATGGTGGGAGCTGTGCTGGCTCTGAGTCATTGTGAAAACTCGCTCAGCTGTCGGGAAGCTGAGGGCCTGTGGTTCTCACAGGTAGATCATAACCAAACTGGCTTTGGCCATTGAAAGTTGGGGTAGTCAGAGGGTTCCTGGCATCGGTGCTGCCGCACCTCCTGCCGAAGCAGCCGAGTGCCTCTGGTTTGAGTAGATGTTTGATATAACCTGGGGAGGAGGAATGAAGGGGAAAGTATTGAAACCACATCCCAACCGCAGCTGTGATTTGATGCAGCTTCCTTGCCAAAACCTCTCCTCTGGCGAGCTGGTAGGTTGCCCGGGAGGGGGCAGAGGGTGCGAGGAGCACCTCGAGCTGCGCCGGGGCAGGAGGAACAGCAGCTGCCCATGCAGCTCTGCTGTGAGAGAGACATCTCAGCACCACACTAGGACACTGGGCAGCCAAGGATGGGAAAGGTTTGTGTGGTGCATCTGCTCGTGTGGGGAGAAAGAGTAGATGAGTGGTAGGAAAAGAGTCCTCAGGACAGTGTCCCTGTGAGAGTTCTGTGCAGTCCAAGGGATGCTCTGGGTATAATGCTCTGTGCAGGGCCCTGAGGGCTGCACACTATTGGTATTGCAGATGTCTAGTGAATGTCAAGGAGATGCTATCGGCGCTGGGAGAGCCAGAAACTGTTTCTGCTTTAGCTAGATAAGGAAGGGACAGGAAGCACCATTATCCCTGCTCCCATGGAGAATTCTCCCGTATCTCATTCCTGATCTCTCTGGGAGCCAAGTTTTTCCTGAGGGTACCAGAGGAGGGAGCCAGGCCAAGGTCCTTCTCCAAAACCTTACACGAGACCTTGCTCTGCTGCAGTGGGGTTCAGCCTCTGCCTCCCCCACCCCATCAGTCAGTCCATCTCAGCACCACTGACACCTCTTCCCGTGCCGTGAGCTTTGCTCAGCACTTCTGCATGGGGTTAATGTGCCAGTGAGGGGGTTGGCTCATGACCTCAATGAGGTGTTGGGAGTGCTCTCACTGCCTTCAAGCCATGCCTGTTGTCTTTACTGTAAGTGTGTTTCTGTGGGGTGACCACGTCCTCCTGAACTCAGCATATCCACCACCAGCACAAACCTCTGCCCTGCTCATTTCTGGAAGGAGGAGGCTCTGAAACTCCTTGTACCCAGAAGTAGCAACCCAAGGTCTTGGATGGAGAAGGGGGTTGTTTCTTGCTGAGTTTGTGGAGCAGCTGGTTGAGCATCAGAGGTTTCGGTACTGCTTGTGCCAGCGTGAGAAGGACCTTTAGCATCTCACACCTCCTACTTGTTTGTCTTCCAGCTTGGATGGTGGGGAGCTCTTCAGCCGAATTCAAGACAGGGGAGACCAGGCCTTCACAGAACGGGGTATGGAGCCCATGGAGTGCTGGGGGTTTGTCTTTGGACCATGTTTTGGTGTTTGTTTAGTGATATGTCTCTGGCCCAGCTCATTCTCTCAATTGTTCTTTGATCATGTTTTGGTGCTTGTTTACTGATGTGTCTCTGGTCCAGCTCATTCTCTCAATTGTTCTTTGAATCCCCAGCAGAGTTTGGGCTCAGGGAATGAGGAATGTGGGTGTCAGGGGCCCTGCTTTAAAATTCCCCTGAGAGCAGGGTTAGGGAGTGTTTCCTCAGCTGCTCCCACACTCTTGTCTGTTCCACTCCAGCACAGGCAGGAGCTTCAGTGACCTTCAGAAACACTCACTGCCTCAGAAATGAAGTCCAGGGGCTGTGGGTCTCATAGATCTCATTCATCTCATTCCATCTACTCCTGTGGCCAGGAGAAACAACCACACAACCCCCCAAACCCTGAGCCCATTGTCCCCTTGGCTTCTCATCCTAGGGGGAAACCTTTCCCAGGTGGATTCCCTGCAGATGGGGTGTCCTTAGTGGTGCTATCTCCTTGGATATTGGTGTCAGGGGCTGGATCCTGCCCCATCTCTTCTCCTGGGAGTTTCTGTCCCATTTGCTGCAGGCTCCTGACACAGGGATGGGTGCTGGGGGCACCTGCATGTAAAGAGGTACTTCAGGTAGAGGCAACCCCTTTGGCCTCTGCCAGGCTCTTTGGTTTGTAGAGTTATGCAGGGAATGGTGCTCCTTTTAACATGCTTCTGATGGTCTCTTTGCTGCTTCAGAGGCTTCAGAGATCATGAAGAGCATTGGGGAAGCCATCCAGTACCTGCACTCGATCAACATTGCTCACCGGGACGTGAAGGTACAGTGCTGCACACTCACTCACCCAAGGCCCCACTTGGCCTGTGCCACTGCCAGGCTGCCCCAGCTCTGCTGCTCACCACTTCTTCCCCCTGTGTTCACAGCCAGAAAACCTCTTGTACACCTCCAAAAGGCCAAATGCTGTGCTAAAACTCACGGATTTTGGCTTTGCTAAAGAAACCACCACACACAACTCCTTGGCCACTCCGTGCTACACACCGTACTACGTGGGTAAGTGGCTGAGGGGTCTGAGCTTGCAGGTTTGCAGGGCTGGGGGGTTTGGTCAGTGCCATGTGCAGCACATCACCTCTGCATCCAGCCTGGAGCCTCAGGTGCAGGATGGTGCTGGGGGCAGCAGGCTCCACTGCTCGGAGCAGTGGTGCTGAGTGCATGGAGCTGCAGGCAGCTCTTTGGTGGACCCATGGGTTGTCAGATCCCTCTCTCTGGTGCTGCCCTTGGACTCAGGATTTTCTGTCTCTCTTTACCAGCCCCAGAGGTGCTGGGCCCAGAGAAGTACGACAAGTCCTGTGACATGTGGTCCCTCGGTGTCATCATGTACATTCTGTAAGTCTGATGGTCCTTCTTCATCCTGCTGTGGTCACAAGGGAGATGAAGCTTTTGAGCTTGTGTCCCTGGCACTGCTCTATGCTCTGCAGGTGCTGCTGAGCAGGTTTTTATGGTGACTCTGCTTCCTTTTCCTGGCACAGGCTGTGTGGGTACCCCCCTTTCTACTCCAACCACGGCCTGGCCATCTCACCTGGCATGAAGAAGCGAATCCGAATGGGCCAGTATGAGTTTCCCAATCCTGAATGGTCTGAAGTATCAGAGGAAGGTAAATACAGTCCCCATGGTGGTTTGTCCCCAGGCTGAGGCCTCACTTTAGGGTCAGCCCAGTGTCCAGTGCTTTTGCTGAAGGCCTTGACCAGGGTGAGGTGTGTGACACAGAGGGGATGGAAAGTGTGTGCAGATATTTCAGGGCTGCTGGATCAGGTTGAAGCACAGGGAGAGCTTCCCTGGGAGCTGCTAATGCCTCACTCTGCTCATTCCTTTCCAGTTAAGCAGCTGATCCGCAACCTGCTGAAGACAGACCCAACCCAGCGCATGACGATAACGGAATTCATGAACCACCCCTGGATCATGGTGAGTGTGGGGCCAAGGAGGCAGCAGGGTGGGATGGGGATGGGATGGGATGGGGATGGGATGGGATGGGATGGGGATGGGGATGGGGATGGGGTGGGATGGGGCTCCTAGTTCACACTCCTCCTCTCTCTTGGCAGCAATCCATGCAGGTGCCCCAGACCCCTCTGCACACCAGCCGCGTGCTGAAAGAGGAGAAGGATCTGTGGGAGGATGTGAAGGTAAAAACTCTCTTTGTTGCTGTCTGCAACGCTCTGTGCCACGAGTGCCATCTGGGGACTGTCCTCTCCTGCCTTCTCATTGCAAACTGGGCTAATTCACTGTCCCTAGGAGTGTTCAGAAGCTGCAGATGTGGCACTTGGGGACGTGGATTAGTGTTGGACTTGGCAGTGTTAGGTTAACCTTAGCATCATAGAATGGTTTGGGTTGGAAGGGACCTTAAAGATCATCTTGGCTGTGGACAAGAGCATCTTCCACCAGCCCAGGTTCCTCCAAGTCCTGTCCAGCTTGGCCTGGAACATTCCCAGGGATGAACCAGCCACAGCTTCTCTGGGCAACCTGTGCCAGTGTCTCAGCACCTTTACAGTATAGAATATGGACTTGATGATCTTAGAGGCTTTTCCAACCTTAATGATTCGATGATCCTAACTTGGGCTTGGTGTGAGTGTTCTGACTGCTGGGGAGATCCATGCTTGGAGAGAGGAAGGGAAAAAATTGGCAGTGGGACACAGCCCTTGCTGCAAGTTATTCCCACGGGGACTCAGAGGGGTGAGCTGCCCTGGGAGGTCCTGGGGGGCTCTGCTGATGGCTCTGCCTGTGCCTCCTGCCCACAGGAGGAGATGACGAGTGCACTGGCCACCATGAGAGTGGACTATGAACAAATCAAGATCAAGAAAATCGAAGACTCTTCAAACCCTTTGCTGATGAAGAGGAGGAAGAAAGCCAACCCCACCGAGCCTGCCGCGCTCCCC